AGGTAGGGAGAACACCTTTGAAGAGTGGGTGAGAGATGGTTAGGGCCGGAACAAGGCAGAAACAACTGTGATAAGGGGGAGGGGCAACTACAGCTCTGCGCAGACTCGCTTGAGATGCTCATCGATGTCCTGCGCTTCCTGCTACAGATACGAGAGTCCCGTCATGCAGCCACCATTAGCAGTGCCTTGTTTACACACCTGTGGCCCTTTGGCCACACGCTTCCCAATATTATATCCCCTGGACTAATTTCTAAAAATTGTCAAACCTGTCATCACACCATTGAGTACGTAGCACTGAGACAATGGTTATAGAGAACAAGATCAGATTTACTGTGAAATATGAGGAGCGCCTGAAAATGTTTAGCTCACACGATACTGATGCTGTTAACACTCAGGATATTATATTTTTGTAGCCATAATTTCAAAAACTAAAGGTCACACATATCTACCATTAAAGAGCCAATCAAAATCCTGCTTGATACGAGGGACATGCTAAGGGTACCCATCCCACTTTCTGCTGTTGTGTTAAATTGGGAAACACAACCTGTGTCCCATCGTGGCAACACAGCCAGTCACTAAAGAGAAGGGAACGACTCACAACTCAATATTCTTTATATCTCTACCTCCTTGTATTAAGTTATTAAACCATGAACTCATACTAGAAACTTTTTCATTAGTGTTCACTTATTGCAAACTATAATCTTTTAGGGGTATATGGAAAGCATGTGTCTTCTTTCCTTTGTAAATATTAGCAAGGCAAATTCTCTTGCACCCTTGTTTCCCAATGAAGGAAAAGAAAGTACCAAAAATGGAGACATGGGACATTCCACCAGGTTTAAACTCTGAGTAATTATTTACGTGATTCCGAAAATACAGGTTACCATAGAGGGTATAAACCCTGTTATTGCCCATAAATTGTATTTATCCATGGAAATTAAAGGTGTCACTAGCTTAAGTCCTGGCAGAGACTCATCTGTTTTAGCGTTCACCAACCCACATGGTAACTACAGCTGCTATATACAGAAGGAGTTAACATTGACACACAAGTTCTGCCCTCTAACCCTACTTTTAAGAATCCTTCCCATCTCTGGATTGGAGGCTGAGGGATTTTCTCCCTCCCTGCTTAACGCTAAGAGAGATTTATTGTACCAGGCCTGGGGCGCTGTTGACTGAAAGACATTGCATGATCATCACTGTACCCATGGGTAAGAGAGGAAGCAGCAGACCCTGGGGCATTGCTTTGAGTTATTACAGTGTGTAAGGTTGAAGGTTTTGTCAGAGAGCCAGGGCAGAGAGGTTGAGGACAGCAGGGAAGGGAAGGCTAAGAGAGCAAAGTTAGTGTGAAGGGTGTTGCTTTGAGCCTGATTGGTAGGTTTCAGCATCCATCCTCTTCTTCTGGAAGAAGAAGCAAGTGGCTTATGCTTTGCTTTCTAACTTTAGAGGTACCCAAAGCCATATTTGTAAGGAAGTTGGTGTGGATAAATATGAAGGAGCAGTTGAAGGAAGAAAGGAAGAGGGATAAAGGGAGGGAGGGAGAAAGAAAGGAAGGAAAGGAGGAAGGAAGGAAGGAAGAAAGGAAGGGAGGGGAGGGAGGAAGGAAAGAAGGAAAGGAGGAAGGAAGGAAGAAAAGGAGGAAAGAGGAAGGAAGGGAAGAAAGAAAGAGGAAGGAAGGAAGGGCGGGAGAGAGGGAGGAAAAAGATAGACCTATATGTCTCTTACGTTGCTTCCCTGATTCACTTTTTTGTCATGTATGAAATGGGGAGGTTGACATTAGCTTAGCTCATGACAACTCATTACAAAATTTGAATTTAGAAGGACCCATATTAATGAAGTTTCTAATGAATTTATAAAATGTCAAAGATCACCTCTCATTAGAACCTGAAAGACAAATTCCAAAGTGATTTTTCAACTCTTCCAGAGCGTGCTGTGACGCGACGCCCGTGCATCATGGCTGATTGGAGAATGTTGTCACGTTGGCACCTCTTTCCTTGGCTTTCACCTCATTTTGTGCTTTGGCTTTTCTTTAAAATACACTGGCACGTCTGTGAGGAGACTCTGTGGAGACAATAATGATGCTTGTCTGAGTGCATAGATCGAATGATTTTCAGGAAAATTAATAGTCTCTGTTCTGATTTGGGTGACGTTCCTGCAAGGAAATTGACAGATGTTTTAAAGTGTGAACCAAAGTATTAGATTCATGCCATTCTCCAAGTCCCCACGATTCCTGTCTCTAGGGTGTGATTGATAGCTTGGCCTGATGGTTCTTTCTGTTCCTACCGTAGCTACAGCATTAGGGGAAAAGGCTCCCGAGTTGAAATGGTAATCATAGACAAAAATTGGAAGTAAGAGCCATTCTGGGTTGAGGGAGAGAGCAGTGTCTGGCCAGGGATAGGGCTCATTTATGAGGTTTCTTCATTAATCATAGACAATAACGTTGAGTTATCATTTCATGTTTCTTGGGGTTACTATATCTACCCTGGACAGGAGGATGTGAGAACATTACAGTCGAGGGAATCTCATTGCAGAAATGTTAACTGACTTCCCATGGTCACGTGGCTGGTTGATGTTGGAGCCCTGGTGATAAGCCGTAGATTCTAGGTTTTCTGGAGTCTGGTGATGGGGTACTGAGATGGGATTGCTGTGGCATAGATATTTGGGAAGATGAGTGAAAGGAAACCATGTGTCTGAGTCAAAAGAACAAGAAGGAAATCATGCCACTAAACAATTAGGAGGATGTGGGGGAACAGGTACATATTCAAGGCATACTCTATAGGTAGCAGCACATTACACGTACATTTATTACATGTGTACTTAACCACACATTTTCAACAAAAATAGCCCAGCAGCTATAGTAAAATACGATTTTTATGTCAGATGGACGCTAAATACAAATCAGCTGCTCGTCTGGTGCTCAATTGAAGAAAAATGAGAGATTCCAAGGCTGGATGGATATATCGCTGTGTTGGAAAGTGTGAGATCTAACACAGTATATACAAAGCAAGTTAAAACATCAAAGATATTTCTGACTCTGTGATTTTTGTCGTATACCCAGCTTTGAAATCAATTCCCAAATAAGATGGAAATTCAGACTTTTTTCCCATCAAAGTAAAAGTGTAGGAAAATTATGTGTGAATAGATCAACAGTTTAGTTTTTAAGCAATAACTTTTTCATCAACTGCAAATATTTCTGCCCAAGAATGCTTTTCAGTAGAAAATCTAGTACTGGAATTTTAATGTATTTTTTAATATGTATTTTGAAATATACAAAAACTTTTCAAAATATAAGCCTTAGGTTTGAACATGAGTCTGTTAATGATATTTCTCATGGTTCTTTTGCTCAAAGAATAGAATTGAACTTGAATATCACTTTTAAAATTAATTTTTATTGGAGTATAGTTGATTTACAATGTTGTGTTAGTTTCTGCTGTACAGCAAAGTGATTCAGTTTTACAGGTACATATATCCACTTTTTTTAGATTTTTTTCTCATATAGGTCATTACAGATTATTGAGTAGAGTACCCTGTGCTATACAGTAGGTCCTTATTAGTTATTTATTTTATGTATAGTAGTGTGTATATGTCAATCTCAATCTCCCAATTTATGTCTCCCCGCCCTTTACCCCTTGGTAACCATAAGTTCGTTTTCTACATCTGTGGCTCCTTCTGTTGGGTAAATAAGTTCATTTGTACCATTTTTTTTTAGATTCGCCATATCAGTGATATCATATGATATTTGTCTTTCTCTGTCTGGCTTACTTCACTCAGTATGACAATCTCTAGGTCCATCCATGTCACTGCAAATGGCATTATTTCATTCTTTTTTACGAGTCTGAGTATCACTTTTAAGAATATGGTCTTGGGCTTCCCTGGTGGCACAGTGGTTGAGAGTCCGCCTGCCGATGCAGGGGACACGGGTTCGTGCCCCGGTCCGGGAGGATCCTAAGAGCTGCGGAGCGGCTGGGCCCGTGAGCCATGGCCGCTGAGCCTGCGCGTCCGGAGCCTGTGCTCCTCAACGGAAGAGGCCACAACAGTGAGAGGCCTGCGTACCGCAAAAAAAAAAAAGAATATGTTCTTGAAATAAAACATATACCCTGAAAAATACACACGAGTACAGAGTTTGATGACTTTCAAAACCTGAATACTCCTATGCAATCAACATAAAGGTCATGAAAGATATGGACCAGCATCGCAGAACACCCTGACCCGTGTCCCCTCCTAATCACAATCTCCCAAAGGTAACCACTAACCTGACCTCTTAAACCCTAGATTTGTTTTGCCTATGTTTGTACTTCATTTAAATGGATTCTACCCCTCTGGGTCTGGTTGTTTTTGCTTAACATTATGTTAGTGATATTCATCCATTCCCCTGTCGATTATTATATATCACTCATTCACATTACCATATAATGTATTGTGATAATATATCTTGATACTGCCAAACAGTTTTTAATGTATATGTACTAACTGGCAACGAGTCAGTAATGTAGGAGGGTTCAAATTACTTTGCATCATCCTTCCCAAAACTTGGTATTTTCCATCTTTTTTTCTTTTAGCCATTCTGGGGCACAAGCATTGATTTTTAAATGGACTAAATAAACCTCTAGCAAACTCATATCAAACAAAAGTCTTTATTTAGGAACCAGTGTGTGCTTCGGGCGGGAAGGGGCAGAGTTTCATCAAGTGGAATGCTTCAACATCAATACGTTCAAAGAAGAAATACAAATTTGAATGACATAAGCAGAAAGGTCTCAGCACAGACTAGTGGTTTTGTTTAAAATACTCCCTTATTTTCAGAGAAAGCACTTCATTTGGGAATGAAGAGATATGTATTAGAGGCTAGACGTTTATGGAGTCTGAAAACTGACATTTTTAAGATTTTGCGGGAGACTCATGGGATAGAAGAAAACAGTAAGGACTTTATTAACTATACCACAAATGATGTGATTTTCATAGAAAAAACACAAGGCAGTGGTTGATTTGTATTTTTATTACCGTTGCAGGGTCTCCATTTTGGTGCCTATTGGATATTGTCCCTATAAAGAATGAGAAAGGAGATGTGGTCCTTTTTCTGGCCTCATTCAAAGATATAACAGATACAAAAGTGAAGATTACTCCAGAAGATAAAAAAGAAGGTTTGTACTGTTTTCAGAAAACATTGACAGATGGAGTAACATTTTGAAATTGTTTATTCAAATACTCTGGTAGGAAAAAGAAATGTGTTTTTAATAACAGCAACAGATAAACATTCATAACTCTTAGCAGTCAGTATTTGGTGCCTATCCCCAAATCACAGAGATTCACATGAATTTGCATTTTCCTCTTTGTAATAAAAACTCACTTGATAGGAACCAGAAGTTTATACTCCTGTTTGAGGAGAATGAGGATGGGAAAACAACTTATCAGAATACACAGATTCACACCACCTTGTTTTATCAGGGAAGAATATACATTGATAGCAATGAGTGAAGTTAAAATGATGCGATTGAAACTACTGCTCTCAGTTTCATCTAATGTGCAGTAGTTCAGAACTTAGAAGTGCAAGATTTCATTTTATATCCAAAATCCAGAACTCAAGTTTAGTGCTTGTTAGAGTGGAACGTTGCACATGCGTACCTGTATTTTGCAATAATAATTTGTTTTAAGACACAGACAAGCTCTTCAATGATCTTTAAAGTATTCTAAGACTTTCTATTGCTTACTTTATAGCTTGTGTCTGTAGTTTATGAGGAAATACCCTGCATTCATGTAAGCAGACAAAAGTAACATTGAAAAATATGCCCATATTATTTCATTTAAACAAAAGTAGGATTAGATATTTTGGTGACCAGAGAAAAGGCAATTGTCATTGTAGGGACTTCCTGTATATTAAGTTCTTTATGAGAACCAGCTCTTTGATGTTTCAACAACTATGTCTTTTTAAAAATGTGTGTGAGTGTTTTAAATACATTATGTCTTTTGAAATGACAACACAAATTGAGAACTATTTGGTGACCCTGGCCAACTTGTATCATTTGGAATGTTTGCAAATGCAGGACTGTTTTCTTGTGTATTTGCATACCTAAACACTGTGGCATATTTTACATACAGGAGGGGTGAGCAGTTTTATACTTAAAGTTACTTGGATATTAGAGCACGTGTAATACCTGTCCAATGAGAGAAAAGTGTGGAAATCGGTGTGCGTGGTTTTGGTTTTGTTTTTACTGTTTTCTTTGCTGTTATAGGGAAAGAAAAGGTAAGTATGAAGTGTATTGACTCAGAACACTTCTTATAGCAAATGTAGTTTTTTTCCATACCAACAACCAGTTCTTCAACTCTCTGGACTCCAGCTTGGTGTCCTATCATTTAATTCAGGTCACACTAACTACCTGGATTTAGTGTCAGAGTGCACAGGTATAAGGGCCACACTAACTGCAGATGCCGGTCACAAGTACGGGGTGCCCGGGGCCCACACACTTCTGTCCAGCTTGGCTACAATGTCGGGAATTTCACAGCCCTCCCCATCCTTTTCAGATTTGATAATGTGCTAGAACAGCTTACTGAACGCAGAGTAACACTTCTGTTATTGTAAAGGCTCTAACTCTGGAACAGCCATAGGGAAGAGATGCCTAGGGTAGGTATAGGGAAGAGGGCCTGGGGCTGCTGTGGTTTTCCTGGGTGTGCCACCCTCCCAGCACTCCTGCTCGGGTGTTTAGTAGGAGTTTTCATGGAGGCTTCGTTACGTAGGCAAGATTGATTACATCATTGGCCATCAGTGATCAACTCATTCTTTAGTCCCTCTCCCCTCCCCAGAAGGCCAGGGAGTGGGGCTAAAAGTTCTGGCCCTCTAATCTCGCCCTGGTCTTTCTGGCAATGTGTTGCCCTGCCGAAGTAATCTAGGGCACCCTCCCCTTCCCCACCACCAAATATTTATTAGCACATAAAAGACACTCATCCCTCCAGAGATTCCAAGGGTTATAGGGTTGTGTGCCAGCAATAGGCATAAAGACCAAGTACATTTTTTCTTATGCCACCATAAGGATTATTTGAATAACATTATATTTATGTATTAAATATATATGTGTATATATTATGTATACTCATATGTATAGATAGATACATAAAACTATCCTTAGAAAGAAATATGGCTTTTTTTTTCTTTTTTTTTTTGCTTCAAAGTGGGCAGTTTAATCAACTAACTTGCTTTGAACATGAAGATTATAACTAATGGTTTTATATAATTTAGGTCATCATCTTTGTCTTGTGTTTCTGGTGTCTGTAGATAGGGGTGAAATCCCCCTTTTGGAGGACTACAATGGATAAAAGGAGTAAAAATATACTTATTCATTTGGGGTTTGAAAGAGCTCAGTACAAACACTCCTTTTCCCCACCCAAGTTCTGAACCAACTGAGAAAGAAATAAGAGTAAGGCAGATGGGAGAACAACACATCACCTTTATTTCTGAAGAAACCGATAACAGAGAATGTGGCATATTATCAACAGCAAATGGGCTTCCTCTCAGTGAGCCCAGATTTAGGCAAAGTTACCGCCAGCTTGGAGGACCAGAGCAGAACAGGTGCTTCCCAAAGGCAGCTGCTCCCTAAAGAGAGGAAAGAGTAAGGGCCACGCCATATATGCCAAACTCAATCATATTAAATTCCTCCTCTTCCCCTGGGAAGAATTGAATAAAGGAGCAGTACAGAGGCCAGGTGTGTTACACTAGCAGAGCTGCTTCCCCAGGAAAGCTTGCACCTGCCTTTTGGGGGTGAAGCGCACGCATTTGAATACCCTATGGAGCAAGTAGCAATTATTCTAATCCAAGGTTCCATCATAAAAAAGAGTTTTACATTTCTATTTAAATAAATATATTAAACTATGCTTAATAATAGTCCCATTTTGTTTAGAGAACATGTAAAATATGAAGACTATCTCCTGCAAGGTTTAAAGAAAGAAAAACAAAAAGCACTTTTAACATTAATTGTATAAGGCAGAATATGTTGTAGAAATTTTGAAATATTTGATAGTAAGTCTCTAAATCTTTTAATAGCTTTATGACTTTGTTCCTCAAATGATTATTATTTCATATGAAATTAAGTGTTATTTCTAATATATATTGAACACTCAAGAATATTTTCTTGGGCTTCCCTGGTGGCGCAGTGGTTGAGAGTCTGCCTGCCGATGCAGGGAACACGGGTTCATGCCCCGGTCCGGGAAGATCCCACATGGGCTAGGCCCATGAGCCATGGCCGCTGAGCCTGCGTGTCCAGAGCCTGTGCTCTGCAACGGAAGAGGCCACGACAGTGAGAGGCCTGCGTACCGCAAAAAAAAAAAAAA